TAATAAGTGGAACATCACCTGGTTTACCTAGATCTATAGCGGAGGAGCTGGAATCTTGAGGGAACATTGGGGATTTGAGGAAGACACAACCGTCTGGCGTCGTCTGCCTTCTAGGGACAATGGCTTCGAAGAGAAGGGAGAGGAAGGGATGAAGAGTGAGGGAATGGAAAGGATAGGGGGCTATCGGTAAAAAAATGATTGGCGAAGGGGCCTCACGTGCTGCTCACCTGACCTATGGACCACGACGGCTGCTGACATGTATTGCCACGTAGGATCTATTCCCCAAACGGAGGGATATGGACCTAAATGGCACAGCTTAAAAAGTTTATGTACTCAAATCTGCACTTTCAAAGTTAATGGACCTGAATGACACAGCATAAAAAGTTGATGGACCTACGGTGCATTTATCTCTTTAGTAATTGAGGTGATAACTAAGTAAAATGGTGATGTGGTATTGAAATTAAAGAAGAGAGACGAGAAAAGAAAATTTGTCTCTTCGAGAACCAAGACATAAAAAAATATGATAGGTACATAATGGAGAAAGAAGACATATGATTGATCAAAATTTTATTTTGAAGAGACTACACTACTGCAGAAAACTTAACCAAGGCGGGCAAAATAAAATCGATTAAACGAGGCGGGAAGCGAACTGCCTCTGTCAAAAGGTCACGGTTAATCGGGCCTTGATGGAGGATCGCCTCAGTTAATCGATTAACCGAGGCGGGTATCCATTAGAATATTGTTTTTATATAGTGCCTACATAATTTAATAGGCATAGACTAATCTACAAGTGGTTTCTCGTATTGGGACTACCCTTACAAACACAACAAACTTAATTATTTAGGGAATCAAGGTCTTTTATTCTTCTGGTAATCTGTGTACAACTTTTTAAAACTGCATTCTTTTTTTGCAATAGAGGGACAAATCCATATTTTATGATTATGAATCGTAGGCCACTTGTCCTCATCTTGGCGTGTTTGGGACTGCTCCACAAACTCTGCTCCATAAACTCCACAGTGGAGCAACTCTATAAAAACCTAGAGTTTGTGGACCACCTCTTTATTAGGTGCTCTCACAACTTCACCTTTTTTTCTCGAACAGAATGCGTGGAGCTGAATCTGTTTGACTAAAAACGTGAAGTAGAGTAGTCCCAAAGAGCCCCTTAGTTTTTGACGAGTTATGTTTCATGTCCAAGCCATGACGATACAACTTTCTTTCTTCTACTCAATTATTTATATGCCACATCATGAATATAGAATGTGGCATCTAATCTTTCTCAACCTCTGGTCTTAGAGCACTCCGAACCCCAAAACGAGATGGTTTCACTTTTTATTACTCCCACAATCCTGAAATATAAGGGATAGATCCATTTTTCTAAGTAAAGATATGTTAACTTTGACCAAAATTGTAGAAAAAGAAGAATAATAGCTATGGCATCAAATTAGTTTGATACATTATGAAATATATTTTCATAATTTACATCTTTGATGTAATAGATATTAAAAAGTGGTGATGTGCCCACTGAAATTAAAAAAGAGAGAGAGGAGGAGGAAATGGTTTCTTAAACAAGGCACTCACTACTCCTGAACAACACATCACTGCCGGTTCGAAAACCTCATCACTACTGGTTTTTTGAACTGGTAGTACAAAAGCGGTAGTGATGAGGTTTCGAGAAAACTAAAAAAACGGTCTGAAAAAATAGAAAAAAAATAATCCTAGGAGAGTCCCCATTGGACAGCCGAGCGCAATTTTTCGTGCAAAAAATGAGCGCTTCAGGCCAGCGACGCTCGAATTCATGACCTCAGGCTTCGCGCGTTCATCCCCTAACCACTCCACATGTAAGACACTTGTGTCCATTTGGGATATTCGTCCTACCTATTTTATATTCATTTGGTTTTGAAATGAATATTTGGTACCCTAAATGAATTCGAATGGAAAAGTTATCAACACTACAAAGTTGTATAACTTTTCGAGATCTATAACTTTTGTTTTGGTCGTTTCTCCATCAAGGTCGTTAATTCGAATTTCAAATGTGAGAATTCTGACGTAATTTTCGTCGGATAGATGATTGCAAATGAAAAAGTTGTCAACTACAAAGTACATAACTTTTGGAGATCTATAACTTTTGTTTTGGTCGCTTCTTCATCTGAGATCCTTAATTACCACTAAGCACTCACTTATGACTATAAAGCATAGGAATTCCTTTGGTATTAATTTCTATAAAATCTTGTGAATCAAATATTTTGGCATCAAAATGATTTCAAATAAAAAAGTTATGAACTACAAAGTTGCATAACTTTTTGATATCTACAACTTTTATTTTAGTTGTTTTGTCCATCCGAGATTCTTTCCTACCACTATACGCTCACTTATGACTATAGAGCATATGGATTTTTTTATATTAACTCTATAAAATATTATGATGCATAGTTAGACATTCAAACGATCTCAAATAAAAAAAATGTTTATATATATATATATATATATAAATATAAGTACATAGTAAAAACTACGTATATGAAAAAACTTAAAACGCCTTATAATTTCAAACGAACCAAGTACTGTCTAAGCAACCGCAGTACTTGATAGGACTATAGGACCGTTGCAATAATTGGTATGCATGATGCGGTATCTGGTCATCTTCCACTACTTCCCAAAAAATATCTTGTTAGGTTTTCTGAACTGTTAGTAGCCGTACGAAAACAACTCCTGTTAGGTTTGGAAACTGTTAAAATTGTTGAACCAGGCTTTTAGGAATGAAAATTACATATAGCACCTCGGTGATTCTCAAAAAACAGTGCCGAGTCGGCGTTCAGTATAAATTGAGGAAAGGTACCGTGTTATCTCGCAGCCGTCTTCCCCTTGCATTTGCTTCCTTCTATCGCTTTGCAGCTTTGCGCCAAGCCTCCATTGGACTTCTTCTTCGAGTGCTGCAGAGTGGTAAGTAAGAGCATCTTATTTTGCCCTTGTTCGTCCCATGTCTATCTGGCTTTCATCTTATTAGAGGAGTCAAGGACCTATTGGGCCTTAGCTTGTTAGGGTTAATTAGTCGCTTGCTTAGAAGTCAAGTAACCCTCTTTATATAAGGAGAGGAGATGTATCAATCTAATCAAGTAAGAGATTAGAAGAAAATCCCTTCTCTCTTGCCGGCCGTGGGCGAAGCCCCGCGGTCGGCCTCCCCCAGCGCCCTTGCAGGCCTAGCCGCCGCCGCTATGAACAGTACCCGCGGACACTGTACCTCCACGGTACTGTAGCACGCCCTCTCATCTCCATCCCAACTGGCCACATAACATCTAGTATCAGAGACCATGGCTGGATCCTATGCCGCTGTGCCCTTCTCCACACCGCTCGGCGCACATCCCTGGGCTGCGCCGGCCCTGTTCTCCGCACCGCCGCCAGCCGGATCCTACGCCGCCGTGCCCTTCTCCACACCGCTCGGCGCACATCCCTGGGCTACGCCGGCCCTGTTCTCTACAGCGCCGGCGGCCGGATCCTACGCCGCCGTGCCCATCTCCACGCCGCTCGGCACACATCCTTGGGCTACGCTGGCCCTATCCTCCGCAGCTCCGCCCGTGTTCACCACCGCCACAGCCACTGTGGCGCCCTTGCCTGCGCAGCAGCCTGCACCTTCCACGGGCGCCTTCGGTGAGTGGATGGCGACCTTCAACCACCTGCAGCGCCAGATGGACGTCCTCGCGACCCTCGTCCATAACATTGGCGCACAGCCGGCGTCGGTGCCCTCATCCGCGGGCGCGCAGTCGGCGGGCCTCGTCCTCGGCGTGCCGGTGCCTCCATTCACAGGTGCACAGCCGAGCGATCAGATCGCCACTGTGGCAGCAACCGTGCAAGTGGCGCTTGCGTAGAAGAGTGATTGTCAGTCTGCGACGGTGCGATTACAGGCTGCAGCACGCGGCCTCCTAGCGTGGCGCCGACTGCAGGAGATGCGCCGGCAGATGCATGAGGCGGCCTTGACGGCGATCGACCTCGGCAAGGGGGGCACGACCTCGCCCCGTCTAACGGCCAACAACAACCGCGCCGACCCGTTGCTGTCTCCAGGCGCGAGCATGGTGCTGTTTCCGCAGGCGGCGCACTCCAGTTCTATGGGAGTGATGATAGAAGAAGCGCACTCCTCTTTGTCACCGGCAGAGACGCACTGCCTAGCGCTGCCGCGTTTCGCTGTCGGCCGCCACGAGGTCGTCTCCGCTGGTCGCTGTTGCGATTGATTCCAGACAGCCGTATCCGTGCAACCCTCTCGTTTCGATGGTCTCCATGGGAACCAAGCGGCTATACGAGCCTGTCCAGCACGCGGAGGGTGTCCGACGCATCTTCAGGAGTCAAGAATAAAGAGTCGAGTTTATTTGAAATAAGCCGGGATGTAAAAGGCTTGTTCTTAGGTGTTCAGTTTGTGTCTAGTGAAGCCATAGTTAGCATCATTGTTAGGTCGCAGCTCGAGGACGAGCTGCATGTCCGGGTGGGGAGTAGTGTTAGAGGAGTCAAGGGCCTATTGGGTCTCAGCCCGTTAGGGTTAATTAGTCGCTTGCTTAGGAGTCAAGTAAACCTCTCTATATAAGGAGAGGAGATGTATCAATCTAATCAAGCAAGAGATTAGAAGGAAATCCCTTCTCTCTTGTCGGCCGTGGGCGAAGCCCCGCGGCCGGCCTCCCCCAACGCCCTTGCCCTTGCAGCCCTAGCCGCCGCCGCCGTGAACAGTACCCACGGACACTGTACCTCCATGGTACTGTAGCACGCCCTCTCATCTCCATCCCAGCTGGCCACATAACACATCTCTTCTCCATAACATGTAACGCAGCTGATGGGGAAACTGTTTGTTTCCTTAAATAAACTAGTAACCAGAGCTTCTAGTAGTGCACAGAAATAAAGCTCTCAGTCATTAATTTCTCCAGGTACTTCTGCCAAAAATTTATCTGAACTTGTTGCTTTTTGTTCTGACATGTGCATATAATCAAGATCGAAACTTGACCAAGTGATCAGACGTAGTCATGATGCTGCTTCCTACAATTGGACAGTTCCTCATGGTGCTCATGGCGTTCTGTACCCAAGGTGTCACCTGCTCCAATGGAAACTACACGGATAAGGTATCACTATTGGAGTTCAAGAACAGCATCAGTGATCCACGACAGGCCTTGATATCTTGGAATGATAGCACACACTTGTGCAGTTGGGAAGGTGTCCAGTGTAGTGTAAAGCACCCACTTCGGGTCACTTCACTTCGTCTTATCAATCAAGGTTTGGTTGGTCCAATATCTCCTTCACATGGAAACCTGACATTCCTAAAAGTCCTAATACTATCGGCCAATTTATTCGTCGGTGAGATCCCTCCATCCCTCGGTCATCTGCATCGCCTCCAGATCCTTAAATTAAATAATAACACAATTCAAGGAACAATACCCAGTCTTTCAAATTGTTCAAATCTCAAGGGCCTGTTCTTGGAGGTGAATCAGCTAGCTGGACAGATTCCTGAAGATTTGCTTTTTGGCCTTCAAAAGCTGGCACTTGCCGTTAACAACCTTACTGGAAATATTCCCTCTTCTCTTGCCAATATCACAACGCTGAATGCATTTACTTGTATCCGTAATAATATTCAGGGAAACATCCCAAATGAGTTCACAAAATTGTCAGCGCTGCAAATCCTGTACGTTAGCGTCAATAAGTTGTCAGGTCCATTTCCGCAGCCTGTCCTGAATCTTTCCAATCTACTTGAATTTCGCGCCGCTAGCAATGATTTTAGTGGAGAGGTACCACCCAATATAGGCAATTCTTTACCCAACCTCCAATTGCTACAACTAGGTCTCAACTTCTTTCATGGTCATATACCATCTTCATTGACAAACGCCTCCAAGTTAACTGAAATTGACATATCACGGAATAGTTTCAGTGGTGCGGTGCCTGGCTCTATCGGCAAACTTTCTCAACTATCTTGGCTTAACCTCGAGGTAAATAAACTCCGTGCAAAAACCAAGCAAGATTTGGAGTTTTTAAAGAACTTAGCTAATTGCACTGGGCTACGGATGTTCTCGGCAGTAGACAATCGTCTAGAAGGCAATTTGCAAATGTCATTAGGAAACCTTTCCAGTGAGCTCCAGCATCTACACTTGTCAGTAAACCAACTATCAGGGGATTTTCCTTCCAGTATAGCAAACCTTGGTAACTTGTTGATTGTAGAATTGGCCTGGAATCAGTTTACAGGTGTGGTTCCGGCATGGCTTGGGGCTATGAAAAATCTGCAGAAAGTGTCATTAGGCAACAATTTCTTCACAGGGATCGTTCCATCATCCCTTTCAAATCTGTCTCAACTAGTAGAGCTCTATCTGCAATCGAACCAATTGAAGGGGCACATACCCCAAAGCTTGAGCAACCTCCAGATGCTTCAAGTACTAAGCATTTCCGACAACAGTCTTCATGGCAGCATACCCCAAAGCTTGAGCAACCTCCAGATGCTTGAAGTACTAAGCATTTCCAACAACAGTCTTCATGGCAGCATACCAAAGGAGCTCTTCAATATTCCGACATTAATGCAGATTAGCTTTTCTTTAAACAACCTAGATGGACCACTTCATCCTGACATTGGCAATGCAAAGCAATTCACCTTTCTACATCTTTCAAGAAACAATCTATCTGGAGAAATTCCAAGAACATTGGGAAACTGTGAAAGTTTGATAGATATGAAACTGGGCCACAATAGTTTCAATGGAAGCATCCCAACTTCATTAGGCAATATAAGTAGCCTACAAGTTCTCAACTTGTCACACAATAACTTGACTGGATCAATACCAGTGTCTCTTGGCAGCCTACAACTTCTTCAGCTACTAGATTTGTCATTCAATCACCTAGAGGGTGAGGTCCCGACAAACGGGATCTTCAGTAATGTAACAGCTGTGCAGATTGATGGTAACTCAGGGCTTTGTGGTGGGGAACCAAAGATGCACCTACTCGCATGTCCTATCAAGCCTTTGGATTCAAGAAAGCACAAGCATTCCATTGTGCAAAAGTTGGTGATCATTTTAGCCAGCATGATGTCACTTGCCATAGTCTTAAGTGTAGTGTTACTTTGGAGAGGTAAACAGAAGAGAAAATCTCTATCCTTGCCATCAATTAATAACCAATTTCCCAAAGTTTCATACAACGATCTTGCAAGGGCAACTGATGGATTCTCCACATCGAAGTTAATTGGGAAAGGAAGATATTCTTCCGTATATCAAGGAGAACTGTTCCCAGATAGAATCGTGGTTGCTGTCAAAGTTTTCAGCCTAGACACAAGAGGAGCACAGAAGAGTTTCATTGCAGAGTGTAATGCTCTAAGAAATGTGCGCCATCGAAATCTAGTTCCAATCTTAACAGCATGCTCAAGTATTGATTCCAGGGGAAATGATTTCAAAGCCTTAGTCTATAAGTTCATGCAACGAGGGGATTTGCATGCATTGTTATACTTGACTAGAGGTGATGCAAACACCTCAACTCCTAGCTGCATTACACTGGCCCAAAGGTTAAACACTGTGACAGATGTTGCAGATGCATTGGAATACCTCCACCATAACAACCAAGGAACCATTGTTCATTGTGATCTGAAGCCTAGCAATATTCTTTTGGACGACAATATGACAGCACATATTGGAGACTTTGGTCTTGCAAGATTCAAGGTTGGCTCAGGAACACCATACTCTGGTGACTCAATCTCGACTTCTTCAGTAGCGATAAAGGGAACAATTGGATACGTCGCCCCAGGTAACTCATATTTGCATACTACCTAATTAGTCTCATGTACTGTTATCTTTTTTGAACTAAACAATTCTATTATGCAATCTACAGAGTGCGCGGGAGGAGGCGAAGTTTCGAGTGCTGGAGACGTTTACAGCTTTGGAATTGTTCTACTTGAGATATTTATGCGGAAGAGGCCTACTGACGATATGTTCAAAGATGGGGTCAATATTGCAAGATTCGTTGAGACGAACTTCCCTGACAGGATTGCACAAATTGTAGATCCTGAACTACTTGAAGAGCATGATGATGTATCGCAACAAACTTCATCAGCCATGACGCAGAAAAAATTGGAATGTTTAATTTCAGTGCTAAACAATGGACTTCGCTGTGCTAAACTGCTAACCCATCCCCAAATGAGCGCATGGACATGCAGGAGGTGGCTGCAAGGCTGCACGGAATCAAGGATGGGTATCTGAATGGAAACTGATGAGGTATGTAGCACTGCACTAACCAGTTCGTTGATAATTTTATATATTATATTATAATTATTATAATATGTGTAATATTTGTATCTTTCTTATTTGTCTTGCAGGCTGTAACTTTATTCCTACCGTTGATGAAATATAGCAGCTCTAGGGCATATATAAACAACTAAACAAGGTATGCAATGTTATGAGGAGGCTTTCTCGGCAGAAGATTCCTGGCAGTAATATTATCAGCAGGAGAGCCTAGTGGCCTAACCGCCTAGGCTAGGCTTTGTCGACGACGAAATAGTGCTCACAAAATCAGGCTTGACAACATGAAGATGCAAGTGTGGAACATAGCCTACGTTTTCTGTATTTTTACTGGGTCACATTTTGAAATTGCCAGACTTGCTTTCGGTTTCACATTTTGTCGTCCTTAAAAAAAATGAAAGCATGTCTTGTCACCTTTAACTGGATAGCGCTCATGTGGAAAGCCAGAAGTCAGGTAAGCTGGTGACTGCCGTCGTTTTCACCTTTATCCTAAATGACTTCGAAAGTTCTCTGGCATTCTGCGCCTTGTCTTGTGGGAATTGGGGTCGCCATGGCAGCGTGGATGCCTTCTTTGACTGGTTGAAATTGTCTAAGCTTAGTCTCCACTCTCCACCCTAGCTCGTTTTGGACCTGGTAGGCTGGTACTCCGAAATACTATCACACAGTGCGACTGACTGAACCCACCGTCCCATCCAATTGAGCGAGCTTGTGCGGATGGAATTTTTTTTTTAATTTTAACACTTTTTAAAACTAATTTTAAATCTAACACTGCCTGTTTTTTTTTTAACTAACACTTTTAGCCGCGCCTATTGCCCCTGGCGCGGCCAAATGCCTGTGCTGCGCCATGCATGGTGGCGGGGCAGAGGGTTGACGTGGCGGCGACCGGAATCGCGATCGTTGACGTGGCAGGGCTCTGCCGCGTCACCGATCTTGGCGCGGCAGTGCTGCGCCACGGCTCATGGCGCGACAGGGCCAAATAAATATCGCGAGCGAGCCCGCACGCACGCCTACCCGCCCGCCCGCCAGCCACGAGCCCCGCCGCCCACGCCCACACGCGCCCGCCCGCCCACTCCCCAAACAGCGCCCGCGCCGGCCGCACCACGAACGCCGGCGCGTCAAGGCCGCCCGCTCCTAAGGTACCTCCCTCTCAATTTCATGTTATTTTGATTATTATTGATTTAGGATAATTAGTGATTTAGGATAGTTAGTAATTTAGGATAGTTATGATTTTATAATTGTTATTGATTTATGATAGTTAGTGATTTAGGATAGTTAGTGATTTTGGATAGTTAGGTTAGTGAATTTATTTGTGATTTACGTAAGAAGTTTTTAGGTTTGAGGTTGTGTGTTCTAGTATAGTTAGGATTTTGGGTTTATGGATTGATTAGGTATTTATTATTTAGTTTATAGTTAGTTATTTAGTTAGGGATTTTGGGTATAGATAATAGTTTACAAATATCGGTACTTACTAGTGCGTGATACGTCGATTTTGATGACTTCATGAAGTTTCGTCAAATGCTTATATTCTTAGTGAAGTTGTTTATGTTACTAGTGTGTGATATGTCTGTTAATGTTACTTTGAATATATACATGTGCTTTCATATTGTGTTCGTATTGCATAACAAGTAGTTCAAATTTTGCAATGCTATATAATGTTAATTTGAATTTTGTTAATTTGAATACTCTAACGCTTTGTTTACCAATTTGTAATAGAATGGCCCCTCCCACGCAGCACCCGTTGTACCCCATTCTTGAGGTGGAGTATGACGACCAGCACCGAGCACATATCTTGAGTGACAACGACACAGAGGTGGCCTTGTCTACTTTGAGGCCCCGCACGCACACCAGGGCGCACCAGTGGGACGAGCGTTACGCGCCGTATATACGGCGTGCTGGCTTCCTCGAGCTTGTCCCTGTTGTCAACCACGGCCTTCAGCCCCTTGACCTAGCACTACTTACTGTAGTTGTAGACAGGTGCGAGTGCATTCTTTGTACGTAAACTTTCTTGTAACAAATTTGAGGCAACTAACAGTCGTTCTATTCTTATAACAGGTGGAGGCCTAACACCCACACGTTCCACCTACCTTGTGGCGAGATGACCTTGACCATGCAGGACGTGAATGCTATTTTTGGCCATCGGTTGAGGGACTTCCAGTGACAAGGATAGTTGATAACGATCACTGGAGGGAGCTGGTGGCTCAGTTTACTAGCTTTCTTTCACCAGACGATGAGGCTTCCAAGAAAAATAAGTAAGAAATTCAAGCCTATTTAATACTTGCATTGCTTTCCTGCAGCCATCGGGTCTCATTTTCTTTGGTAAATTTTAGGAAAACTTCCGGTGTTTCATTGTCCTAGATCACGAAGCGCTTTGATTACTTGGACCCACAGGCTGAGGAGGCTCAGATCAATAGGTTAGCTCGAGTGTGGCTTTGGCACTTTCTTGGTGCTTTCCTCTTTCCAGACACCTCGAGCAACACCATCAGCTGGATGTTTCTTGTCATACTACACCAGCCGTGGGAGAACATAGCGGCGTATAGCTGGGGCAGCACAGTCCTGGCATGGACGTATCGATAGCTATGCGTTGCCTACGTCGCACCTCAGGGTATGCGAACCTTGGGGGTTGCTCGTACCTACTCCAGGTTTGGTGTTGGGAACGATGGCCCGTTGGGAGGCCCCTTAATACTGGTTTACCGTTAAGTACTTCGGTTCATTATATTCTTCGATATGGTTACATATGATGAGTTTATTAATGGCTAATTCATTATCGTGTTCAATGCAGCAATGGAACGGGCAGGATACCCTCCCTACAGCTCTGTTTATCTTGACAAAATCAGAGTTAGTTAGAGGGAATGCGAGGCGCAAGTACAAGGAGTACACGGATGGTCTCGACGTCCTGACACAGCACCAGGTTACGCTCTCTTTACTATCATACCTGTGTCTTGTTCGATCTACACTATATCACAGCCTAACTCAATTACGAAATGTTCAGGTGCATTTGTGTCCTTGGGATGCTCTGAAGCTCCAGTACTATCTCAGTCCTGTCACTAGGGACGAGTCAGAGGATTATCGCTGCAACGTCCCTCTTATTTTCTTCCACGTGGTCGAGATTCACTTACCCGTCAGGGTCTGCAGATAGTTTGGAAGAATGACAGGCTGTCCACCACCGCTTTACTCCACCAACCAAGGATTGCACGGGTGTGTTATCGATTAATAACAAAGCTACAATTCAGAGGTGTGCGTGGTACAACTAACATCGTTTTGTTGTAGGTATTACCGCAGGAAGAGATACAAGACCAAGGATTGGCGCGTGACACAACGTGCACATCCACTTGTGGGAGACCAGGGAACGGCAGCCGGTCCATGCGGGTCCTCCACACGACCAGCACACCTTCGACGAGTACCTGCGCTGGCTTCACAGATCTACGAGGACACATATCAAGCCCCCATACACTGAGGAGGCGATTGACGAGGACTCGGAGGAAGATGTGATCGAAGATATGTACGACGTTGCCACTAGAGAGGACATACAGCTACAGAGAGCCCCGCTACAAAGATACGTGGTAAGATACTTGAATGGTATAATTTGTTATCCATTTGGTATTAAGTATGTATACTAAAACTGTTCAACCGCGTTTCTATACTCAGACGACACAATTGTCGAGGCTGTCCAACGAAGCAGCGTTCCGGCTTCACGAGTCTAGAGGGCAGGGGCCAGGCGTTCTCGAGGCTTTTATGGAGGTAAACAAAAACTAGTCCGTTCCGAAAATGTTTTTTTAGTATATATGCGTTTGAGAAATGCACTAACTTTAACGTCTATTTATGCAGAAGGTGAAGAAGAGTTGTAGGAAGCTAGCTCAAAAGCTGAGCTGCATGGACACTCCTTATGAGGAACCGACACTCCCGGCGTGGTCGGGTGGCACGTCTTTAGCCTCTTTGAGGACACCAGCTGGCTCTTCTCAGCCGGTGACAGGTGCCACTTCCGCGGTGCATACACCATCACATCATAGCGCTGGGAAGGACCCTGCAACCGAGGACGACGACGACAACCCCCCGGGCTTCCACAGACAGCACGACCAGTGGGACGATTGGCCGCAGGATGAGATCGGCATGTCTCAGCTAGGTGGTGCCCCGCTTGGTACCCAAGGAGCCTCACAGGTACTAACAAAGGTAGTTTCTTTAAATACGTAGGCTACATGAACTAACGATCATAAAGAATTCTAAGTAATCGTGCATATCATATACTTGCAGGGTATGAGCTGTACGCACCGGCGACACGACCACACCGACATTGGTTACACTCCCAATGTGTTGCCAACAAATCCGAAGAGACAGAGGCGTCCGAGGGATCCTTACACTCATAGGTCTTAGTTTGTTAGGTCGAACTATTATTGGCGTCCAAAATTTGCAGGCTTAGTTGGTTATGTTATGTCGAACTTATGTCAAACCAATGAAAATGTTATGTGGCAGCTTGTCAACTTGCGCACGGACTTTATTTATTTGCTTCACATTCGTTTCAATGCGTCGCGGCATCATTGCATGCGAGATTAAGTAGCAACTAGTTCGGAAACCGGCAGTCCCGGGGTATCTCGACACCGGAGGCCGGTGTCTTGCATGAGGGGTCGAGGAAGCCGGGGTCCATGGTCGCGTCACCGCCGATCCTACAATATGGGGCCAAAAAGCCAAATAAATAAGTTCCCTTAAAAAATATTCGTTTCAATCCGATCCAATTTTTTGTAATCGATTAGTTAACATGGTTGTTAACCGTATTATGAAAGACGGAAAAAATCATTGGCTTATCAAATTCTCTATTAGGCCGTGAAAAAAATTCAACAAAAGACAGAAACAAATCCACTATTGATTTTACGTCAAGCAATACTTAGAATAACTCCCACTATCGGCGTGACGCGTTCCGATTAAACCGTCCAGGTACCGCCGGGCGGGCGGCGGGCGCGGCGGCCAGG